AAATGAGTCAAAGGGACGACAGGTCTTATCTTGGAAGAGACAAATGGGCAAATAGTTGCGGTAGATGTTACATGTAGGTCTTGCTGATGAAGAGCTGGGCAATGGATAGATGGTCTTCCCGAAGAAGAGATGGTTAAATAAATGTATTGTAAAGGGTAAATAAAGAAGACGTTGCATGAGGAGTAAATCTCTCCCAAGCCGAACTATTATATACAAGAGTACAAGCATTTGCCAGCCGTAATCAACTGTAATCAATTTTTGCCAATATCCTCGCATTAATGATTGTGTTCTTGTCCTTTTCTTCTTGACTCTCTGGTACATCTTTACACAAATTTTTAAATGACTTATTGTATTAGGGGAAGCTATTCTTAATTTGATGGTTTTAATTAATCACCCCTTCGTCTCACCACAAATTGAAATTAAAATTAGTACTAAAACTCTAATCACGCATCTGTGAAGCTGTGTTGAGTAATATTCAATGCACGGACACCTCAATTTTTGTTATAATCCTAGTCCATGCTAACACAACGCAGAGACGTGCATGGTCTAGGTCATGGATCAACATAGTTGCTGTGCCTACACAATTGAGGTAAGCTACGTAGTGGTTGGAGAGATCGGTTGAGGATCAGGATATTGAGAAGTGATAGCAGTGCACGGACCAGCTTCTCATGTATTTACACAGGTGGTCAAGCACTGCTCCCAAAAGTGTCCAAAATAGATCACATCATTTATCCATCATACTTTCGCAAATAATAATCCCTCCTAAAGTCTACATCTCAGTTCTCGTACATTATATCACAACTGACTCTAAGTCCATCCCAAGAATATCTCCAGTGCTCATCATTCAGAAAAATCTTGTACATAGTAAATTATTCTTGCCATTTGATCAATTAAGTCTTCAATACGCAGCAATCAGACCGTAAGGTTATAACATCCTGCGCATAATGCTAAACAAGAGCTTCAGCCCATTGACTACCGTAAGCTCATAATCACAAAATGATGTGAAACTGGGTTATGTGTGGATAGAGATATACCTGTACTATTGGTTGATCAAGCTGGTGTGCAAGCCGGTGGGCTGTTGGGGTCTATCTGTAGGTGGGTTGAGACTGTAGTGGATGAGAGTTTAGAATGATTGATTGATGATATCTACTTGCAGAGTTATTACTCTGTTATATACATGTCTCTCTCGCTTGTCCTCACTCTACATGACAACACCAGTCCTTCTCTAACTCCGACGTAGAGTCCCTTGACTCATCCGTATCCCTCATCAATTATGTGCCACTACATCCTAGACGTATATTCATGACACAGAACCCCGGGGATACTATGTTCCCTAGTGGTGGCTCCTTGACTTAGTTATATCATCCACTAACCATGTATCAGTCGAGTAAAGATGAATACTCATGACATGATACTTCTGATACAAGGCACTCCTTGGCGATGGCTCCTTAACTCTGTTGTGTTGCTTGTTGTTGCGTGGTGGTAGGGCATCCTAGGTATGAGACTTTTCAGGCACCACGCATCTGCCGCGAGCTGACTCTTCTAGATCAGATTCATGATATTCACAACACAAAAATCCCGGCTACCCAGACTTTGATTTGTGGAGATGACATACTGGAGGCATTCCATGACACCTTCCATTACTGCCTGTTTTAAAAGTGTCGAAAGCACTATCCGAATCATAGTCTTGGCGCCCACAAGCACCCCGAAGTTGTAAACATTCGTGTTGTGCTGGTGATGGCTAGGATTGCGATGCACAAGGGTAATGATCACTGAGGGTGAAGGAAGAATTTTCCAGGTGGCTCCATGATGAGTAGAGGAACAATGAAGCACTGTATAGAAAGTGTTTCTAGATTGTAATACCAGATGGAGGAGACTAGAATATTCCGTGGTACTGTATTGGGTAAATAAGGCGAGAGTCTAGCTACCTCAGATGTGTATATAATTAGCGCTTTAAACCTCCTAAATTCTCATAGTTCTGAATATCAAATACATCAGCAGTTCACATTGATTCATCGATAATCATCCGTAAACCTTCTGCCAATTAACCTCCGTAAGCTCTTACCTTTACAACAATTCGAAAAATAGGAGTCCAAGCATGTCTATTTATAATCTCTCCTCTCGTTCTTCCGGCCTCTCAGTTTTCTGTCCTCTCTCAAAGTGTGAAGCGCCACGAAAAAAAAGGCGCCTGTGGACCAAGATCTAATCTTTGTATATTATGCCATAGTTTCATCCTTGTAGGCAGGCATATCATTGTAACTTGGTACTGGACGATGACCAATTTTTGATGAGGCATATGTCTGTTTGAAATTAGCGCGGCTATTTATTCAGTCCTTAAGGCATGGTTGTTTATGTTGAAATTGGTGCTTCCATTTATACTTAAGACAAGGGTGTGTAGAATACACGTCACTAATCTCCCATTAATTGTGAGGTTAGTATTAATGCGCTTTGACGTAAATACCAACCATTAGATTTTATTATTACAAAATATAGTTTATTGTCAAGATGTCGAGAGTTCAATGAGTCGAGAGTTCGATAAATTAATATTTGGAGACGTCAGAAGGTCAAGATGGACACAAATTAAATATTGTCAAAAGGTTCCTAAGAATACAAGGCCATAATCTACCGAACTAAAGTTATCACAATTACTCATTATATATTCCTCTCTATTTTTCTCGAACTTTCCAGTATACTCTCATACAGAATAGAATAGTCTAGACAAGTACAGATCAGAGCAGAACAGAACAGAACAGATTAGAATGGAATGGAGTAAGATATGATAGAACAGAACAGCTAAAGATTAGGATAGAATATAGCAGAATACCACAGATATCTTCATACAGAGCTCCTATTGACCCAGAATAGGCTCTTGGTCCGTGAAATTTATCTAGCACTCTATGTCCTAGTGGGAGTCATTAATAACCCTCCACAACAGATTTACAGACTCCTTTACTGTCCCACTCATCTCATCAAGTGATATAATCTGTGCCTAACAGCCACAAGCTTTTGCAAACCAATCTGCTCAACAGTTTATTGTAAGATTGTGTCAAACATCTGATGGTTTGGAACATATTGAATATGGTAATGAGAATCATTGGATAGTGGGGTGATACATCTTGTCGGATTAACTAACTCGAGCTTTGATATCTCACCAGGGATATGGAGGATGTTCAGGATGTTCAGGATAGCCAAAGCTCTTGTCACGGACCAAGAGCCTATTCTGGGTCAATAGGAGCTCTGTATGAAGATATCTGTGGTATTCTGCTATATTCTATCCTAATCTTTAGCTTTTCTGTTCTATCATATCTTACTCCATTCCATTCTAATCTGTTCTGTTTTGTTCTGCTCTGATCTGTACTTGTCTAGACTATTCTATTCTGTATGAGAGTATACTGGAAAGTTCGAGAAAAATAGAGAGGAATATATAATGAGTAATTGTGATAACTTTAGTTCGGTAGATTATGGCCTTGTATTCTTAGGAACCTTTTGACAATATTTAATTTGTGTCCATCTTGACCTTCTGACGTCTCCAAATATTAATTTATCGAACTCTCGACTCATTGAACTCTCGACATCTTGACAGCTCTGACTTGAGGTCTTTTGATCTTCAACACATGTAATATATTTCATATGTAATTTTGGGAAACGAGGAGAAGATAATCACTCCTCGAGATAGTTTTAGATGGGTATATAGCATCACTGCTGGAGGGGAGTTGAGGATCAGAGATTTCATCAATACAATTTTACTTTACATTTTTCATTTGACCCTCAGTGTTCAACAGATTGAGATAAAGGACTTCTGAGAGAATCATAAGACCGAAACGGGTGGGGGGTGGTTGATTCAAGACATAGTTGTATTTGCTTTTGACTTCAATTCAGATGCAATTCTTCTTCAACATCCCACATATGCAAGGCGTACTGATCAATTACACCAGCACCGCTGGAGCTAAAGAATCCACCTATGCCAGTGGCGAGAACTTCGGTGTTGACACTATGTTTTGTAGACTCCTCGATTCCCTTGGAAACACGAGTTGCAGAAGGCCGAGTTTCTTAGAGACGACCACGAGTTAGTTGACTGTAACGTTACGTCTGAGAAATCCGCCAGGTCAGCCACTCCAGACGCGCCCCGATATTTGTTTCCAACGCGGCAAACCTCCATTGGTGCGAGTCTGGTATGGTCACTGGCCATGCTGGCGGAGCTCAGCCCTCTCATACTTGCTGAGCATGTCGCGGCTCACTAACCCCGTCTAGGTTTAGTCCGGTCTTCCTTCAACACACAGCCAAGTCGACGGATCCCGACTTCCTGCAGTGTTTCTCATGACCATTTATTACAGTAAAAAAAGTATGGAGTTTGTAATCGGCTTCCTAGGTAAGAATACACTTAATAAGGTAACTAGTAGTAACACTGCACTTCCATATGGGATAGATTCCCCTCGCCTATTGGTGATAGCGCGATGCGGCGCTTACAGAATATGACACCTGAGTCTCTTCTGTGTGGCGCATCGAGGGGCAGGTGTCGAAGCACTGGTGTGGTTGATTGCAGTAGTTGAAAATTCTGAGAAAGCGTTTGCTGACCCTGGCTACACACATATACACGCAACGTGTTCTCCAGCTACCAATACTCACACCCATCTCGGGCCAGGCGCTTACTGGCCATCATTTACTACAAGATCCAGCCGCCATATTGCGCGCGAATAATGACTAACTATTGGACTCAGGAATGGAGAAATTTATTGACACTGCAATTGGTGGAGGGCTGGGTTTAGCAACGCCGGGGCTATTGGGGCTCGAAGGTAGAAATCTGCGTGGTTTAATAGGAACAGCTGTAAGAAGAGGGGGCGTGGAGACTTCACAGTGCCGAGTCCACTATAGTTGCAAATTAATGGCAACTCTGGCTCGTCCATTGTTGTCGAAGGTAATATATAGCTCGACCAGTTCTCCCCAAGCCAAACCATCTTGTCAAAGTTATCATCTCACTTCTGACTTCCCATTTGCACAACATGCACTCCAATTGCTTGATCAGCTGCCTCGGAATTTGGTTAATATCTATTATAGCTGTGGTACAATGTTACACTAATTATAAATGTGGTAATGGTGTGGAGATAACAGAAAACCAGGCTCGAATAGCCCACGGCAATGCGATGAAGTATTTGTCTGAAGTTGCTGCATTCAAGAAACCCCTAATTGAATCTAATTACAGAGGAAATATAGGACACTTACCTTTCCCCACTTATTTTTGGTACATAACACACTCGCTCGACCTACAAGGTCGTAAGTATTCCCCAAGCGACTCACCTCCATCCACTAACTTGGTCAACAGAGGTAGTAATGAAATACTATCTGTTGACTTCATCTAAAGGTGAATTCTTGATGATAATAAGCACTGGCTGGATGAAGGAGATTGGTGAAGAAGACACCTGGTGTCCTGGGACGTAAACAGTTAAAGCGCGCAAGCAGTTTTCTGTCAACTATGACAATGCTTTTGATTTCTAGACAATGTGTCAACCATTGCAGGCGAGATCCAACACAAATTTCACAACTCTTGCAACTTAACATCTTGCCAGACACTGAGTAAAGAAATGTTTACTGGGTAACAATAGTTGACATGGGTTATGCATGGAATAGCAGAGTGCTAACAGGTGTACCTTTTTGAACCTTTGTAGCTCTGGTTACAATGATGTTTATACAGAGGTGGCAAAGCTATGGAAGATGACAACGTCTTGTTCCCGTCTTCCACTAACCTTGTTTACTGTTCTAGTTGCCCTTGTCTCTTGTCCTCAGGTATAATTCGAATGACGAACCCATACTTTTGCCTATTGCCTAGCTTGCCAGGTATAACTTACACTTTTCAGTAACCATCCCAAATGCTACCTTTAGCATCCTCAATTTTAACACTTCTTTTTTGAACTACATGATTGCTTATCTGATTACATAATATACCCTTGTACCTGGAGTATTTCTGCAAGAAACTATCTAACACATTGATCATCCAACTCAGACGCCATAGTTGCAATACTGGGAAGTTTTCTTTTTGTCCCAATAAACCTACTATTGCGCTGAACCCATCCTTCCATTTGTATCTCTACTTCATTTGTCTCAATTAGACTTCTTAGTGCCTTATTTGGGTTTGACTTGGTCATTGAATTGGCAGGGTTATTACTCCCACCGATCCATCGGATCTCGGAGATCTCACGACGTTTGTAAGACTGGCTTATAGCCATAATATCAATCATAAGTCTTTTCTCCATTGTAATTCCCAATTTGACGAGACATTCATAAAGAGAGAATAAGTCAGTACAGACAACCAAAGGAATTTTTTTGAATCCTAGCTGCTCAGTTATCATTGATAAGGTTGTGGTGATAGCTGTAGCAATATCGACGCCATTGACTAGGCTATATATCTCTGATGCAAGTACAGATGTAGTCACCTGTTTACATTTTACACAACTCCAGTGTATTACATTACCAGTGATTTTGAACTGAGTGGTCGACAGAGTCTCTGTGGCCCGGCCTGTTGTAGACTCATTTGCAAGTATTACTACATATTCAATCTGGGAGGACAAAACTTTGTAGTATTCAAAAGATCTGTTGACAATGACAAACAATTTTGCTGAGCTCAAGTCCAGGGGTATAAAATATATGCCTCGGTCCAAATTATCCATCTGTCACTTAAGCCTTTTGTTGAGAGCCTTAATATCCACTTCAGATGGCTCTTTATTCTGGGCAGCAGTAGAAAGGTCAAATGCTGCTTCCGGTTGGCAAACACTTGCAATATATGCGCCCCGTGCTCATTGTTCCGTGTATTCATCTTTGGCTGAGGGAGACCTTGGGTCAACGAGTTGTATTCGATCACCTCGACTCTTCTGCTTAAGAGTGATACCTTTGTTTTCAAGAATTATGATACCACCATTGAATTTGAGTGGGTGATCCTTGGACAATGTTTCTTGGGGTTTCGCGTCAAATGGTAGCAGTTTATTCTCCTTCTCAGCAAATGCTCTGTCTGCAACAAATAAAGTGTCATCTGTTTGCATTCCTAAGACACCAAATGTTACGGCGAACGTCCGAGTAGACTTACGCCGTCTCCGAAGGGGAGTCGAAGGGAGGTATGGATGGGATACGGAGGCGAGACGAAGAGGAGACGAGAGAAACAAGTGTATAGCTAACAATTTGAATTCTGAAAACTAGAATAATGTGCGAATAATACAAATTGCGAAGCTGGGGAATTATTACAACACGTACCCAGCTTCTCAAATACCCAGATGTGACGGCTTGTGAGCCGATAAGCCCTGTAGCCTTCGATGGCTATCGAAGGCAACCTATATTATCTATCACTCCGAGGATTATCAGCAGACGAAAACTGGTATGAGATCGCCACTGAGGCTACGTAAAGGATAGTGCCAAGAGTATCGGAAGCGTTACCCGTGTGGCAGAACAAACCTTACGTCAGTTTCATTGCCACTGTAAACATAGGCTAGATTTAGATACCTCTGGATGTGTATAAGTAGTAGAGGAGACTTGTAGGTAGTTTGCTTCTACATAGATGAATTATAGCTTTACCTTTCAATCATACAAATGCCCATTCGCTTTCTATATTCGAACTGTGACACCAGATGATCATTAACTATTTCCTAACCCTAGCCTATAGTGGTATTGCGTTTGCCAATCACCGCTACAAGCCTTAGTAAGCCTGCTGAGCCATAACACCAAATTCCTTCTTTGAAGTTGATAACATAAGGCATGGGTCATATGTTGATGGTATCATCAGAAGCTTTTCACGATGATGTTTGCTGTATGTTTCATACCTGTGGATACCAGCTTCTGCAAGGCCATATAGAGGCTTGATTATTTGCATAATCATATCAGGTGGATACTGAGCAGCAATTTCTTTTGGAAGTCTGGCAAGAATGATCTGTTTGAGAGGGGTTTCTGTTGGAAATTCTGACTCTCCAATTTAGGGCTCAACCATTACCTGTTTCGTCTCAGGTTCCCAACAAGATCGACTCTCTCTACACATGTCACGAGTGCGCTAATCGCGCCTACTGTTGCATTTACATTTGGATATTTACGTACTACAGTGTACTTTGGATCATCATGGTAGATGAGAGGTGGCTGGTCATCACTAGGTTTGACAGGCACATGAGACTAGTGGAAATTTCTCTCCTAAGATGTATATTTAATCCAATGTTCACATAGCTGTAAAATATCAAGTCTTCTTTGCTTCATCATATTTATCCATATAATATTGTACAGAGTATATTTCCCAACAGTTTCCGATTGGACGTAGGCCTGGATGATGTCACAAAGATATACCGCGCAGTGAGTAAGTAAGGGCGCGATAGCAAGCAAAATACGCTGACTAGATTGTTGAATTTTAGGAGGTTGGGTCAAAATCTCCTTTTTTCCTCTGTCACTATGACCTTGTACAACCATATGTGTCTTTTTGTATAGCTCACTGGGCATCCCTTTCATCTCATTGACTAATCTTGTATTAAAAATTCGTTCGCCATTCATAGATGGTTCATCTGGTACAATTTGAAAGACATCTCTCTCTTGTAAATTTCTTATTTCCTTCTTTCCGGACAATTCAAAAGGAGCAAGTTCATTTGGGAGTTTGCCTGTGGTACGGAGATTAGTACACAATTCTATATCACGCTTCTCCTTAGAAGGCATATATGATTCAGATTCGACTTTGTGATCTTTTTCCATCTGGAGGAAGATTTCTCCCATGCCAAGGGTATCCCCAAAAAGTCGATTATCTGTCAGCAATGTAGCGTCATTCAGAAAAATCGCAGTATTCTTAGGGATATTGACATGACTTTGCAAAGCATAGCGAGGTGAGGCATTAGATTGATCTTGGAGTGGGCTCTCTGTCTGAATTTAATTTCTTGAATTTTGTCAAGATTGTTTGTCCAATTGGGGTTCCGGTAATTTGCTCGCTCTCTGAGGTTGATCTGATGTTTCATGATCTGGAGTCGAATTCTCTGTGAAGGTTTGACAGATATGGAGCAAAACTTAGTAGCTCCACTCGAGAGCTGGACAGTGCATATTTCATTACCCATGAATAGGAGTTTGTGTGGTCCTGTCCAATACTTGAGCTTCTCACAATATACCAATACATCTGAATTGATAGGTAGTCCTTGCAGGTGCTGGGTACGGGGCCCATTCCTCATGTGCAAAGCATCAGTAACAGCTCGTTTTGCACACGAATTTCTCACCTCTTCCATCGCAGATTTGATGGCAGCTTCACATTGGGCGACACTTGGTGAAGGTGGGTCCATTGGTCCCATGCGTGGAAATGCACCAAAAACGAGTAGGGTAGGTATTAGACCGTCGGGTCCTGCAGTATCATTGATGGCCTTCATAGCCATTTGGAGCATCATAGCTTTGTCAACGCTCACTCCTTCCATTTCCTTTCTGATACAGAAATATGCATGACAGAGAGGGGCATGATATCCTTCAACTCTGCCAACAGGATTATGTGCTTTGACAGGGACTTCTTTGGTGACAATTGACATTGTTAGAACGAAGTTTCGAGATTCATCTAAAGCAAAGTTTGGTCCTGCATCATGGATAACTAAATCTTGGGGACCTATATACATATTGATCCAGCATTTGCAGAAGACATTCCATGTATGTTGAGCTGACATGCTTTTTAACCATTGTGCAGCCTGAAATCGAGTTTCTTGGTCAACCACGTGGGGAATGAGTTGGCCGTCAATGTACATGACATCAATATAGACAGAATGGTTGAAATATCTATCACTTTTTAGGCTAAATTTGATCCTACCAGGAGATTTTCCATACTTCTGACAGGAATCACAGTATTCTGTCAATTTCTTGATGACTGAGAGTTCAACTTCGTGTCCAGCACGTTCGAGTACATGGTGGAAACAGCGGGCTGATAGATGACCAAATCTTCGATGTAATTGGTTTAGTTATGTCTCAGTAAAATGACATTCTTCGGTGCTGTATGACTGCACTAAGTATTCTACCAAGTCGAACAATTCGCCATTTGCACCATCAACAAGCATGAATGCATGGCCAAACTTGCGCATTACTGGAAACTTCTCTATTGAGTGCTCTGTCCGTACTAATGCATTCTCAAGGTTGTTGTAATAGACATGCAGACGATCCATATCTGCTAGAGCAAAAAGGAATAGAAGTCTTTTCGGCATGATATGGAATGTGGTCATTCCTACCTCGGTTTTTACGTCTACTGTACCAAGAGAAATGACTGGTTCTCCTGTCCCGAACTTTATAGATGCTTCTCCTAACCTGCTGGTATTAAACTTGATTCTATGGGTCTTTTGTAATGCCTGAAGTTGCTCAAGCCCACCTCTAGAAATCATAGAAGCTCCTGTATCAATCACAATTCCATGGAAGCGTTTGGAAGAGTATCTATCTTTAATACCTGCAGAATTGGATCGAGTAAGAGC